TAATTTAAAGTTACCTCCCATGTTGTACCTTTCCTCAGCCCTTGAACAACATAAGCGTAGAAAGTGTTTATAACTCAAAACTGAAAATTATAATAAAACCTTTAGCAATAACAACAAATAATAACATTGTACAAATGTCAATTGAGTGTATCATGTCTGAGAAATGTATTTTACAATCTGTTTTCTCAATCTGGAGCATCTTGAGATCCATTGCAAGAATATCGCACAAGTGCTAAATATATAGCCTAAATACAAAGGATGATAAATACAAATAAAAATAGTAAAAGTACATATTTAAAAACACATTCATCTTTAAATTACTAAAAATTACTACTAATTATTATTATTATTATTATTTGATAGAATTTGATGCAAGTCCTAATTCAGAACTGAAAACTTCAAGGAACTTGGTAAAAGCCATCAGGTCTATGGAGGGCAACTCTACACAGTGCTAATATTCCTGGCACTTCACAATTCAGGAATATTTTCTGAGGACACTGATGGATTGTATCATAAAATATCTTCTGACACCATAAAAAGAAATGAAGTTGAGAATTCTAGCCAACAATCTGAAGGCAAAACAAAACAAAACAAAAAAAACACACTCTCAATTATGTGGAAACATCTACTGGGAAAGAACAAGGGTGGACAAAGATTTGATCAGGAAACATAGGCACTATAGTGTTTATTTTGCTGTAGTGTCTATTTTGAAATATGAAGATTGTGTCTATATTTTTAGCTGCTATGATTTTTGGACATTTACAGCATGACTGTAAGACATAACTAAATTAATGTTTAAATACCTTTTAAATACCGTGTCCACTGGTAAAAAGTAAAATATTGTTTGGGTGCAGTTAAAAAAAAGGAAATATTTAAAAGGAGTAAGAGAAAATATATAGGAAATGCAAACATCTTTGGCTTCATTTTTAAGAACAAAATAATTTGTTGACTTCTCTTATTACAATAATCTTTTACTTCACACAACTTTTGTATACAAAAGAGATTTAAAACACCATCCCTAAGTAATAACTTCCAACTCATTGAGCTTTTGTTGTCATTTCCTCAGAAGTGAGGTAGGAATATTCACAATAATTCCTTTGATAGCAGTGTAGAAGTCGTTGCTATAAATGAGATAAGATATTCTCTCTTCCCCACTTTAACATATCTCTACCCTAATTTTAAGGAAGTGGTTTTACATAGACTTTTCTAACAGGAAACTTTCCTTCTTATTCCTGTTTTCCCTCCTCTGGTAGGTTCACATTCCAACAGTGCTCAAATTACAGTTTCATTGACTCTCCCTCAAATACACTTTCCCCATTGAGCTCAGGCTCATATTAACAACGTTAACTACTGTCTCAGTCTTTCTGAAGAAGTTTCCTTAAACATAATCACTGAAACTTTAGCCCTCGGTCAATTACAAGATGTTCTATTTTCTTAAAATATTGCAAATTTCAGGACAAAGCTGTGGAAGAATTGTTTGAAAGCAGGAACTGAGAGGATATCTAGAGCCTGACTGAAGTTTGGGCATTACAGAGGCCTGCTTGGGGTGAGACACAGTTGCCACTTCCAGGATGGCTGGTGCGCACAGACTCGGCTCCTCCACGGTTCCCTGGGCAGCACAACCTGCCCTCCTCACAGCTCCAAAGGGGAGTAACGGAGGATGGAGCAGGGTGAAGACACCGCGGCCAAACTCTGTTGCACTCCCTGTGCTGGGCCGCTGATAAGCCGCACAGTGGCTGTCTAATGGGGGATATACGATAACAAGTCCGGTGCTGAGCCAGCAAAGGTGGAAAATCACTCCTTTCAGATGAACTTTGCTCATTATAATCTCATTATAATGTCAAAACACACCTCCATCCCAAAAGTTACCCACCTCCGAGGTACGACCACCCCTCACTGAGCATGCGCTCTAGATTTTCGGTTGATTGTACCTTTAAATGAAAACGAGAAACTTTTTCACCAATCAATAACAATATTAAGTATGACTCCCTTGCGTCAGTATGCCGCCTGAGGCGACTCGAGACTGAGAGCCCTCTCCCATCTTCTGGGGTGAGTGATGATTGCACATTTGTACATCAGAGCTAGCTAAAAACCCCACGCTCTAGTAGAGAATTTCCTGTACTGACATCCGAAACCTGCTTTGTAAATGTTGCATTTGAATAAATCATGCTGTTTGTGAACTCAAGTACTTGTTTGAGGGGAGGCGATTGGACCTACAGCTGACAGGCTGTTCGTGAATCCGATACTGCCAGGGTCGAGCTTATAGTTGATCACACTATTTGGAACTCGATTCGCTCCTAGGAAGGTGATCGGACCTACGGTCCACAGACCGTTTGTGAATTCGATACTGATTTGATATCTCCTTTCCCCTCCCACCACCACCACTACAGCTTTCAAACTGCAACATTTCACAAAAGCTTTTCCGCATAAAATATACTCTGTGTGCTAAACCCACTTCCTTCAAGACTTAGTTACCGAACAAAGAATGACATTACTATAATTCCTAGTCTTCACTTGCCACTCTTGCTACCCTGAAACAATTTCCTACATAACAGATCTAATTAAAACTTGAATCTTCCATAGATTTCATGTTAAGATCTACTTATATTTGGATTTATGCAATTTCTACAAACTATCAGATTCTAAAATTATACAATTGTTTTATTATTTCACTAATGAGATACTGAAAATAGAAATGAAAGTTTCTTTTTCCACATTTCAGTTCTCACAGATCATTAGGCTTTTCTATTCTTGTATTTCTAAAGTTAGCATCATCCACTGCATATAAAAAAGGGCAAAATAGCAATTGCACACAACTGTGATAGTAACCTTGATGTTAGTCTTTTTAATAATATATTCCAATTTGTATTTCTCAGGTGTTAATTTCTACAAGATTAATAGGAAAAAAAAAAGTACTAAAACCAACAGTTAAAGACAGCTGATATATTCCTTGTTAGCAGACAGAACTCGGCAATCAAGTAGAAGATAACCAGAAGGATTTACAACTAGATTTACTAAATCATCACTTTTCCAAGGTCTTTTACAGTTTTACAATATGCATTACGAAATTTCACTCCTTCGAGCATGTTTATTTCTCATTTCCTTCAGTGTAAGCACATTTACCCCTCTATCTTTTTTATTTCAGTAGCTTTAAAGTATCTGGCATTATATTTCAATGTGATAAGTGGCTGAAGAAACTGCAGAGTAATCTTTCAGGAAGTTAATTCTAGCTCTAAACCATAGGTTGATTAATCCAAACAGATAATTATCATTTGGTATTTGATGTAGATAGCCAACGCAAAACAGACACATTCAGTTAGGGACTGCACAGGAACTCCATCACCAAGCCCAATTCCATGTGGCAACGACAGACACTTCTGGTCTGGCTCATCTTCAAAATCCTGCTACAACTAGGATTCCTCATAAAAGCAATGGGAGGGACAAAGGTGGCCATGTTTTGAAGCAGGCTAAATGAATTCATCTTAGGCTTGTACTTGTTTATAAGCAGTGAGAAGCCCCATACTGAAAAGTTTTGAAATAGCAAAGAATATAGGTTATTGTATTTGTATTGTATTTGTGTTCGTATAAACCATCTGGTTAATTGGTCACTGTCTTGCAAATATATTTTCTTGAATTTGGCTTCCTGAAAGTATGTATGAAAAGTAAGAAATTCGTCTATATGTATAAATACTGGGACTATATCATGTGAAAATAGGCAGGACAAAAACTCCTAAAGAGAAATACCTTCAAGATAAACTGCACAAAATGATCGCAAATGATATAGTAAGTGTACTTAAGACATGAGGTACTCTGTGCTAGCTTACAACAAAAATATTGGTACAGAACAAAAAGTTTTATTAGAAATGTAAGCAGAAATGTAACAAAATCTAGCTATTCTTTGCCAAAATTAAACAAATTCCGTCTTGAAGTAAAAAGCTATTTCTAAACAGGACATGGTATTTATTACAATAGCAGTATTCAAATGGAATCCAAACACCATGCTTACAACTAAGACCATAAGGTCCTTAAAATAAGAACATTTTTAGAACAAATGTTTCATTCCTTTTCACAAAGGAAAAAAATCTATGGTTTGTACAGGCAAATCAGAGTACTCTGAAACATAAAAGGGAAAACTGTACCTTCTATATAGAAAAGGAAATAGAGAATAAAAATACAGAATACTTTAAGAAGACATTTCATCTAGTCAGATTATCCTTCCTTTCCTTAAAGGTAGTATAATGAGATTTCGGATTTATCAGGCACAACAGAAGTGACAAATTTCTGTTGATTCTACAGCAGCCTTTCAATCCAAAGGGAAAGCCCTGAGCAGACACTCTGATGTTTTGTGAAAGCGGTACCATTTCCTATCTGTGCCATAGCTCCTTTAAAGGCCCTCAAACAAATCTGAGGCATAGTGCTCTGTTCTGCAGGATTCTATAGGAGCTCATGGAAGGTGATATGAAAGTCAATAAATAAAAGGCAAAGGGTATTTGGAGATTCTTTAAAACCTAGATTAAAAAAAAAAAAAAAAAAACTCTTTACATGCATTGAAAGCAAACTAGCTATCTCCAAAGCTCAGGAATACTATTTTTAAATTTAGCATTGTTTCACATGCTAAATTATTTTTAATTAATCACACTCAAATTGCAGGGCAAGTGCCTCTCCTCTGCTCCACTCCCTTACTCCCTAATCTTCCTTATAATCCCTGATCCTGATCATCCTGATTGTGAAGATGAACCTTCTGGTCCTGCCTGTTCACTCAGGTCTTCTTCCAGACTATCCCAGTCTGATCCTGACAAGAAATCCAACAATGCTGACAGTCTGCACTAAGACACACTTTATTCTTTTTAGTTGCATCTTTACTTTTCTTTTTTTTTCTTATATCAATGTCATAAACATAGCACAAAATAGAAAATAAGTTTCATGTGAAAACACTGCAGTTGATAAATATCTATTTCTCCACAAAACAATAAATTAGGCCGCATCTGTGAGCTACTTACTTGTGTAAGTGAGCTGAAATCCCTGGTCAGTATCAGATCCATTGGTATTAAATTCTATCCATAAATGGTTAGAAGTACTATTAAGGATAACTCCCATCATCTCATCTTTAGTGAAGGCTCCCAGAGACCGGGAAGAACTGTCTTTTCCATCATACACCTGGGAGAAATAAAATCACAGTAAGAAAAATGGACCTCAAGTTTGAGTCGATTAAAAAGTTGATTGTGGGGTACATACCACTTTAAAAATAATTCTCCTGGTTTTGTAGTCCAATGAGATATAAAATATTTTATTACCCTTAAGACTTTTCATATATTTTTTTTCTTTATAGTATTAGTGAGCTTATCTGGAATTAATTAATTATTTATACATGACTATCTTCAGATATTTCATAACCTCAGGTTATTTTTTTATGACCCGAAGATAATGCCGTTTCAGTCACAGGTGTCTCTTGTGAAATCACAACAGAAGAGGGGCTGGAGGGGGCAAACCTCATTCTACTCTGTTTTCTCCTATCTGGAAATAGCAAAAACAGGACTAGGGTATTAACTCATCTTCCCCCTTTTATTCCAGACTCTGACCCTGCAATAATCATTTTATAGTCGGTTTGAACAAATATCATCTGATACTTCAGCAATCGTATGTGTCTCTTCCCAAACTAAATGTTATTTATTATATTAATATATTGAGAAAATTATATGTGAGAGAAAATCATCAATAATTATCCTCTGTGATTTTTCTTTCCCTTAAGTCCAAGCTTTGTCTCAACTGCTAGAATCTTTTCCCTAACGTGCAGTAACCTGCAAGCGCTCTCTTTGAAATCACTAGTCTTGATCATTACTCATGCACATAATCTAACTGATACCAAAAATTTCTGAAAACTGTTTGTGGTTTCTCGTGCACCACTTAACTTCAATGTGCAGCTGAATTTTGCAACTACTACCCCCCCAGTAGTAAACCAGTACATACAGTTGGATATATACAGTTGGAATTAGTTTTATATTTTAAAAACAAGTAAATATATTTTTTTAAAAAGGGCTATTTTAAAATGTTTTCTCCCCCAGAACTAAAAACATTTAGTGACTCAAAATCTTTTATTCTACCGCTACCGAGAGGTGAATGCAATGACCTATGCACCAACTGAAAGGCCAGACTGCTTTGCTGCAAAGATCTTTATACTGTAACTTAAGTAAAATATTTTCAGAGTATTTTTTTTATCTATAAGAACAACAACATCCTGAGCTGCACGAAGACTGCAGACATATATGAGGGTATAACCTGTTCTAACCCTCACTGTTCTTGAGCTTTGTATTGTAGCCTTCCAAACACAGGTCCTAGATGACAGCTGAGATTAAGAGCAACATTGGGATAGCAATCATAAAAACAGATAGAAGATGAATTGCTAGATTTTCAAGCGAGGCAAACCTAAATAAAAGGAAAAAAATAAGATTAGGAGTAAAAAATGGTTTGACCAATCTGTGTGCTTTTGTAAAGAGTCTTAACTCCCCAATTTTGCAGGTTGTAGATCTCGTTCGAGTACCTAGAGGTTTCTTTCTTTTCCACATGCTCAGATTTACTTCATGTCAGGTAAGAAAAGGTGAAAAGAAAGAGAGTAGATGGCGTGTTTAGCCTGAAATAGGATATAATCAGAGTAAGCAACCACAGTTCAGACATATTTCTGAATCGCCTTGAGGAATAATAAAAAAAATAATAAAATAGTGTCCCTTGAGAATGAAATGATCCTCCATGCTGAAAAAAAAGATGCACTGTAGATCCTAAGGTATTTCTCTTTTTCCTAATTAATTAAAAAATGCTAATTTCTTCCAAAAATGCAAAAAGAGTAACAGTAGAGACCTAAGAAATCTCTGAGGAAGACATATTTGCAACCCTGTTTGAAGGAATAGCTCCAAACATGCACAAACAAAATTGACAGTTAATCCTCAAGATGCTGTAGTATTAGCATATCCTTGAAATAGGAGAGCTGGGAGAGCACTGCAGAACACCCAAACTTAAGCAGAAGCCATTATCTTGCCTCTTTATGAAGACTTTGTAGTAGCAGTTTCTTGAGTCTTTTGTATAGTTCTGGTCAGTACCTGTCTTGAAGGGCATAGTGAAGTTATGGAAAGTACAGACAAGGCAGGGATTTCAGAGCATTTCTCTTAGAAGCAGAAAGTAAACTTGGACAGCAGAAGGCTGAGCACGGATATGGCTGAGGTTTACAAAATCATGAAGGCATTAGAGAAAACGAATGCAAAACTATTCATCACATCCAGCTTTGTTAGAGAAAAGTATACACTGAGGGAACTTTTATGACATGAATTATAAAGACAGAAATGAAAGTGCACACTTGACACAGCAGGGAATGAACTTCCAGGCTTTGCTGTCACAGGGGAGGCAGATAGTGCCAGCTGATTTAAAGAACTAACAGATTCAAAGACAACAGATCCATAATACATAATGAAGAGAATGAGCAGCAAAGTGTTGTTTAACTTAATCCAATAGTTGTGAGTTCTGGGAAGCATAAGGGCAATGGAATGCCCAGGCTTATGTTTTCCCTAAATAACACTTCCAATTACCATTAGCAGAAATAAAACACTTAAAAGGACCACTTGATCTGACCCAAAAAGGTGGTACTTATGTACCTGAGATAACTGGCATGATTTAGAAAAACAAACATTCTTTTTCTAGATGGCTTTCTATGCTAAGTTCCTGGAGTGTTCTCTGTTTTCAGATGTTTTAAACCAACACAAAATATCTCTTTTTTAGTGGTAGTCAAACAGTATCTCCTCATACTGCATGGCAAGATCAGAAAGAACATTTCAGTCAGCCTGGAAGTTTGGATATGTTCCATAACCAAAAAAAATCAGAGGCTGAATGGCACATTTACAAAATCTGAATAATCTAAATATCTTAGCCAGGTTATATCTAAAATAAACAAAGGCAGGACATAACACAAGAATTAACATTCAGGTATCCATGTTGTTTAACCCTGAGCATATTTTAAGTTAATATTTGGCCTAGGCCAAGTGGCAGTCTTCCAGACGATATCTGGGTAAGATTTGGAGTCTTGCATAAGTCAAGACCTGATTCCAACAGGGCCACCCTGTTTTGGAAGTGGAGAGAGAAGAGAGTAAATTTTCATAAATGCAACTTTTGGAGAGACTATAGGGAAATCACAGAATCACATGTGAGTTTAAGGTTGGAAGGAACCTCTAGAGATCCTCTAGTCTAGACCCCCTGCTCCATCAGGGACACCTAGAGCACGTGGCACAGGGTGGCATCCAGGCGCGTTTGGAAGATCTCCAGAGAAGGAGACTCCACAACCTCTCTGGGCAGCCTGTTCCAGGGCTCTGTCACCCTCACAGGGAAGAAGTTCTTCCTCACATGGAGATGGAACTGCCTGTGTTTCAACTCGTACCCATTACCCCTCGTCCGGCCACCAGCCACCACAGAGAAGAGCCTCGCTCCATCCTTCCTACATCCAGGCGCGTTTGGAAGATCTCCAGAGAAGGAGACTCCACAACCTCTCTGGGCAGCCTGTTCCAGGGCTCTGTCACCCTCACAGGGAAGAAGTTCTTCCTCACATGGAGATGGAACTGCCTGTGTTTCAACTCGTACCCATTACCCCTCGTCCGGCCACCAGCCACCACAGAGAAGAGCCTCGCTCCATCCTTCCTACAATTGCCTCTCAGGTACTTGAACATGTTAATCAAATCTCCCCTCAGCCTGCAGAACTGCTTTCCAGCAGGTCAACCCCTAATCTGTACTGGTGCCTGAGGTTATTCCTCCCTAGGTGCAGGACCCTGCACTTGTCCTTCTTGAACCTCATGCGGTTCCTCTCTGCCCAGCTCTCCATCCTGTCCAGGTCTTTCTGAATGGCAGCACAGTCCTCGGGAGTGTTGGCCACTTCACCCAGTTTTGTATCATCTGCAAACTTGCTGAGGGTGCACTCTGTGCCCTCGTCCAAGTCATTGATGAACAAGTCGAACAGCACGGGGCCCAGTACTGACCTCTGCAGGACACCACTGGCCACAGGCCTCCAACTAGACTCAACCCCATTTACCACCACCCTCTGGGCTCTGCCATCCAGCCAGTTCTCAATCCAATTCACTGTCCACTCATCAAGTCCATACTTCCCTAAGTCCATAGGCTTCCCTATGAGGATGTTATGGGAGACTGGGTCGAAAGCCTTGCTAAAGTCAAGGCAGACAACATCCACGGCCCATCATCCATCCAGCCAATCACCTCATCATAGAAGGCTATCAGGTTCATCAGACACGATTTCCCCTTGGTGAATCCATGCTGACTACTCTTTTTCACTTTCTTTTCGCTGACATGCCTAGAGATGATCTCTAGGATAAGCTGCTCCATCACCTTTCCAGGGTTGGAGGTGAGGCTGACCGGTCTGTAGTTTCCTGGCTCCTCCCTCTTGGCCTTTTGGAAGACTGGAGCGACGTTGGTTTCTTCCAGTCCTCCGGCACCTCCCCCGCTCTCCATGACCGCTCAAAGATGATGGAGAGCGGCTGAGCAATAAACCCTGCCAGTTTCCTCAGCATTCTTGGGTGTATCTCAGCCAGGTCCATAGATTTATAGGTGTCCAGTTTGCATAACTAATCCCTAACCCAATCCTCCTCGAATAGCAAAGAGAGTTTAATTGTATAAATTCAAGCTGTGCTGTCTCATTGGCCTTCAGAGTCAGAGAACAGGTCTTGCAGAACAGACACAGCCATAGTTTTGACTCTGTTTCCTTAGGAACCTCAAGGTTTATGTGACAATTTTTACGTGTAGATGTTTACTGATCTGTAAAAGAAGAAAGTATCTAACAGATTGCTTGGAACAGCTTTCTCTCAAGAAAATCTTTCTCACATCTCCAGGGAATACCTCTAAGTGTACTTAGATTCCAAATGATAATTTAGTTTCTGGAATGTTTGTTCACATTTTTTTTTAAGGATTTCCTCTTCAGATAGTCTGCTAAATTATTTATAAAATTAGTAAGGGCAAAACTATTGGGAGACATATGTACAGTATCTGAGCAGCTCAGTGAGCAATTAAATTCTTCCCTGCCTATTATGTCTATTCATATTGAAAATAATTTGGAGGATCTGCACTGTCAAACCTTGGAACACAGGAGCAATGGACAATATTGACCATATGGTTTCTCCAATTACTCAATTCTCTTCGCTCTAGCTAGAAGCAAAAACATGAGCCAAGTTCCTGGACTAATTCATTCAAGGTCTCTAACCCTAATGAGGAGTTCATTATAAATGATGTTGTAGGTAAAGGTAGAGAAATGCTGCTCTCTGACTGTAACATTCTAACAATGTTGGAGACTGCTAAGGTTTTGCTTATTTCATGGTCAACTCCAGTTTGTACTTACTAGAACAAGCTCATTAGCATAGACAGAAATGGCTATATTAGTAAATCCAGTGCTTAAAAGGGCAGTATCCTTTTTCTTTTCTTCTTCTTTTCATTTTTTTAAAAAACTCTCTCATCTTTTTATTTCTCAGTGCATTGTGTTTCATAAATAAATCCAAATTTTCAAGTAAGTTAGTTCAAATTGCCACACTCTTCTTTGAAAGGCATATAAGGTGCCTTTCAAAATGGAATCATGGATAAAAGTATGACAGGCAATATTTGCTTTATAATAATAATATATTTGGAATTGAAATGGAAAGCATTCAGTGCAAATAAAAACAAAAAAAAATCAAGTTAGAAATAAAGGCAGTAAGTTCTAAAACATTAAAATTGGTTGCTATGACATTTTGAGACTGCCAACTGCTATCTGAATTCTAACTTATTTGATAATTCCAAGTAGCAATTAACACTGAAAAAATAGAGAAAAAAATCTAAAGAATAATTTAATGCATGTTCAACACCTTAGATGAACTTCATAATTTTCTATACATAAAGGAAGTGCTCAAAAAAGGAAGTGTTCAAAAATCTCTCTACATTAAGGATATGTGTTCAAAGGTTACTTCCAAAGTAAGAGTAAAAGAAGGCAAATCATTCTCTGTAATTACATTTTGAGTCAATATTACAATGCTGTAGGTTAGCTGGCTTGCTTCTTTTCAAATGAGCAGATTAGTTACTTTGAAACAAAATTGCTACTGCTGCAAAAGACAAAGCAAGAAACTAACAAAGCTCCCAAAATTTGGCATAGGTAATTATATACTGCTCTTTTAAAAATAATTACAACCTTATATTTATAGTATTACTGTGAAAAGAAAATCATACAGACACCTGTAGCTCTCCACATACTAGTTCACATTTCAGGTTTTCTTTTCAGCCGGTATCTGAGCGTAAATAGCGGAGAGGCACCACACACAAGCACAGGCCTCTGGCTGGTGCAGCCCACGCAGGAGGGGTTTGCTCTGGAGTGCTGCCCCGGCATGAAGGAACCCTGGCTTTCACCACGGCTGGAGCCCCACACTGAGGGGTTGCTGCAGCCTGGAGGCACAGCCTCTAAGGACCTCCTCCTTGACAGGCGTAGGGGAAGGATCAACACCGTGGGCATCTGAGTGCTGTGGAGCAGACCACCAGTTGGAGCAGCGTGGTGGGCTGAGCACTAGGTCATCTGCTGATGTGCCACTCCTGCTGGCGCAGGGCACGGGGCCTTTGGCTAGCTGTGGGTTGGCATTGCTTGGACTGGGTATAAAAGAGGGTGAACCACACACTTCTTTTGGTGCACCAAACCCATAGGCAGCTGACCCAAGGAAACACTGTCAGTGGGGACGCTGCTGATGTCCACAGCATGGTGAGGAGAAATCAGGGAATTCTATACCAGAGGGTGGTCCTCAAGGAAAATACATATATATATGTATTTTCGGTTCTGCTAGCTTTGTTATAATGTCTTAATTCTAATAAATTTTCATACTTGAAAAATGACCATTTCTCAAGTTCAGCACAACAAACGACAGACTGAAAGACTCACAGACACCTGTCTAGTGACATATCACAACAATTTAGTATTTCTATAAATACCATTGCATTCTCAATGTCATATTACTCTTAATATCATACTTTATTTGACTTTGGCATAAATAAAAGCGATGCTAGAATTTAAATTCTGTGTGAGAAAGTGAAATGAAGATTAAAAAAAAATAATGCTAAAATATGAGCTGTTCACACATATGAGTGCTGAGGATAGTCGAAACAGGAACAATTTTCCTTTTACCTTAACGATATCTCCCTCATGCAGTTGAAAGCTCCTGGCTCTCAGACGGATTCCTTTTCCGGCCTCTGTTTCAATTTTATAGATACATTCATGGTTGTTGTCATAATTAGATGGGAAATTTGGAGATAGCAATGTTCCTTCATGTCCAGAGACAGTTGCTCCACATTCAGCTACAGAAAATAGGCACATTAAAAAAAAAAAAAGTGAATTATCCATTTCAAGAAAAAAAAAAGTTATTTTCAGTAATATTTAGACTTACGAAAACTCTAAAGCACTACTGGCTACCTAGGAAAAGTATGTTTCTGTTGGACTTCATCTATTGCACAGACTCCTAGAAAATCCCTGCAAAGCTGCTATCTATCTATCTCCAGCATTTCACTTCATATACTAATTATATGCCTTGTTTTATACTGAGGAAAACCTGGGCTCTTTTATCTAGTCCCCTTTACCTCCACTTTATTCCTTGGTCCTCCAATTAGATTAAGCTATAATGAAGGCTAGCTTGCTTTCATAAACCTGGAAGTTTTGTTGAAATATAGTTATTGTAGTAGCATTTCAAATAAATGTAACATTGTTTCATTGCTTGCATTTAATCCCCTGCTCAGCTTAATTCATTTACAAATAAATATTAGATAAAAAAGAAAAGGAATCAACTGCTGAGGCTAAAGAATCTTTAAATAAATGAAGAGTATCTTTTTTTTTTTTTTCCCCAAACAGGAATAAAAAGCAAAACCAAGAACATATTGACATGAGTCAGGGCCAAGCAGACAGCTCCCTTTCTTTCCGGGTAAAAGAGTAGATAAGTCTTTCACAGCCACCTAGAATGTGAACTTAAAGACACTGTCCGTGGTAGAGACTTTTGTCCCTTGCAAAGTAAAGAATAAAGAAAAGTGGTATATTACAGTCTGTGGGCTCAGATTGCTTTATGAATAAAGACTAACAATGTGCAAAATAAATTTCAGTACTCAAACTGAAAACATTCAAAGTGATAGAAAATTGGTATCCTGCTCAAGCAAACATTGGAGGTACTTAAAAAGGTGTTAAAAATATCAGATGAAACATAAAATATTGATGTTTGTCTACAATGATTTTAAAAAATACAGATATGTTTGAATGGCATTTAGGCCTCACTGTTCAGCCCAAAGATAAACTGGGTTGAATCCAGATTTTTACCTGAACATCATTCAGGGCTCGACATAAAAATAAACAATGAATAATGAAAAAAAGCAAAATCCTAAAAGAGCTTTTCTTCTGATATAGCAAGGCTATTTGTTTTAAAGTCTGTTCTCCTCTCTCTCTCTCCTTTTTTTTTTTTTTTCCTTTTTCCCTATATATGTTAAATAGATCAGAACCAGGACTCTAAGGACATTAAAATATTCATTCATGGGAGTGTGTGTATGTGTGTAATTTTAAGTACACCTGGGAATGGTTTATCAGATACAACTTTGAAAATGTATACCTTAGGGACATCAGAAAATCATATAAATATTTTTAGGGACAAATTAATGTTATAGAGAAATAATCTAAAAATATTGAGTTTAAAACTCAGAGGCTTTGACAGGCATTATCAAAATTAAGTTTTTCATGCTTTTGAAAAATCTAGAAGTCAGCAACATTTTTGGCACTTTAGATGTACCTGCTACACCTAGAAGAAGCCATGAACAGCAGTATGCAGAGCCTGTGCTAGGCAGTAGGAAGTGTTTAGACACGGAAAAGGCCTCTTGTCCCAAGTATTTTACCCAGCAGTATAGAAAATGTCATGCTTATATTCTTTTAAAATATCTGCAGTATATATTTACTTCTCCTTTTCCCACAGTAGTGTAGTAATTAACGCATGAAGCCATAATGTGTCAAACCTAAATTCAATTAATTCCTTTGTCTCCGGTGAACTAAGAAAGCACCTTCTACCACTTCTGCTTCACATAAATAGATTAGAAAATCAATTAGCCACAAAGTGAGCAAATGTGGACTAACCTCTTTAGTACAATGAATATGGCATTGCACAGGGGAAAGATGACCACTTCTTCAAGGAAGTTCATACATTAAACATTTGGGAAATAAAATTCTAAAATAACTCACGAATCAACATTCACTGTTGCCACGTGCCTATAGGACAACTAGATTAGAAAAATATGTTCATATTCTTGCCCCTTTTCATTGATTCCAATAAATCTTTAATTTTTATTAAAAAAAAAAGTAATACAAATCGATTAGAAGTTTGTTATTATATTGCTGTCAATATGGTCAGTGTCAACCTAAATTGACAGGATCAGCTGATCACTTGTACTCTTACATTTTTCTCAATTTACTCAGGTATTTTAAATATATTTTGGAGCAAAACCAAAAAAAAAATGAGTAAACCAATAGATTAGTTCAAAAGAAATATGTATAAATATCTGTCCTGAAGGGAATACACACATACGCACACACGTAAATTAGAATAAACTAATAGGGGATTTTATCTGAAGAAAGCAACAGTCTACTACTTCCTTAGAATTCAAAATAAATCAAATGAAGCTTCCATTCAAAAGACTAGGACATACTCCTAACATAAATAATTAATATTATTTATAGTAAAATCAAAAAGGCAATGAAGAACAATGTACCTACCTGAGAATTGTACCAGAGGACTGTGGAAAACAGCTATGTAAAAATTCATTCAAAGTGCACAACATTGAGTATGCTACCTCTATCCAGAGGGAAAATATTTTAGAGGAGAAAATATATGCTTTACTTTTACTACAACTTTTTTATAGTCTATTGTATCCTTGCTGAGGGCTGCAGCAAATGGGAAAAAGCTACCTTATTAAATAGTTGTTTGTTTTTTTTCTCTGTTGTGGTGAGTGCAATCTGTCTGGAATAGATGCTTGACTGCATTCTTTGTTGTTTTGTTTAAGAAAGTCACTTAAATTTTATTTACATAAATAGTTTTGGTTTTGTTTTCATTCTCACACTTTAAATTGGATAAAAGCAAACTGTCTAAGGCAGATCTTTTGAAGATCATCAAACAATTCCTGAATATGAAAACAGATTCTATAAAACAAACACAATTCAGGGATTCTGGAAATGCTTTGAAATATAGCTCATGTAAAACAAAACAAAACAACAAAATAACAATAACTTTGTTTAGTGAAAAAGTTTGCTCTATTACTTTTCTTCTAGACATCATGCTAAAACACTTGACAGGATTTTAAGCAGATCTCCAAAGAAAAGATCAAATAAAAGTCATATCTTAGCAGTTTAAAGGCTTATTTATCCAAAGCTCTTTTAGTGAATAGACAACAGCTTTGTTTTATTTATGAAATGGTGTAGGAGTTCATAAAACAGGAGAACAACTTGAGTTCAGACTGTTGATAGGTTTTGTTTATCTTTCTGTTGGGTAGTACTGTTACCCAGTAGCACAGTAATGTGACACTATCACCAAGGCAAAAGGGATCAGAGATTAAGCTGGAACACAGTAGGCTCTGTTTTCACACAACAGCAAAATTGCTTGACAATGAGGCATAAAGACAACAAACCTACATTATTCCTCTCTCAAAGATAAAAAAAAAAAAAAAACTTTAAAATGTAGAAAGAAAGCAAAAGGAGGACCTCAGGCAAATGTTCCTTCTGAATTTAAGTGATGAAGATAAAAGGTCTCATATAAAAAAACACCCTTTCATTTTGAAAACAGAGTGAGAGGGCCCATTATGCACCAGCTGAAACCCATTCGTGTTCCTTTTTTTTTTTTTTAAATGAAACACATGAAAATTGGAATTATTATATTGCTCTATGTTTTAAACATTCAGCTGCATTGGTTCTCAGATACTAATTTAAACAAATCTTCATTTTTATGTCAAACAATGGCAGAGAAGGATTCACAAAAGGTAAACACCCTGCAGTTGTGTTTCTAAAAACGTAGTTGTATAAGATAAAGACATTGAAACATACAACATGAAGAAGCTTGATTAAAAAAAATCCATTAAATAACTGCAAGTAAGTTATATGAAATTAAAATCTACTTAAAGATTAAATAACATAAATATGACAGCAGTTACGTATAGTTTTCCCAAACTCAGAGGATCCTGGATACATATCTCTCCTTCCCACTGCTTGAAAATGCAGAGACTAAAATGCTGATGTTTTTGAAGATTTCCTGCTCAACAGCAACTACACATAATTTAAATCAGAACTCTGTATAAAAGCTAGCTAAAAATGAATAACAATTTTCAGACTTGGTTTGACTTCTCAAAAGTAATCTCAAATTGAAATTTTATGCTACAGAGAATTTAAAGAAAACAATGAATGTCAAACCTCAAGGGTCTCAAGAAATCTTCAGTGCTATTCAGGCTAACAAGGTTCTCACATTTCAACTGCCATGGAAATTAACTGTGTGCTGCAACATGACAAAGCATGCTAAATATAACAGATTATTTCGCAGTGAATAGTAGTAAACTATTAAAAAGAAACAACTTATTGAAAAGTGTCAGCAATTTGTTTTATCACTCTATCATTAACTATTCATGTACTAGTTACTGTAACAACTGAACATGATAAATTAATGTGATATTAATACGACTATCAATGAGCCATACCTCAGTGAAGTCAATTTGGTCAAATACAATATTAATACACTATTAAAAATCAAGTGCTATGCAAAATTTAATGAAAGAGCAACATCATTTAAATTTGAAGTGAAAATATGAAGCAGCTCTTTTTTTTCAGCTTTAGGCTTAAATTACTTCACAGCTTGTTTTAGCAACACTTTATAGAGACAAAGCAGCTAATGGAGGATGAAGAAGCTACATATAATTTAAAAATACACTATTTGTGGTAAATTTATTATACTGATATATAATTCTTAGATACTGTGCAATACTCATGTAGAAAGGCAATTTTGAATTGAATGCATTTGTGTACAGATAGTATTTTTCAGGATACGTCCTAGACAATTTTTTTTTTTTTAACAGCTTCTTAAGGAAACAGTGAACAGGTAAAACACAAACAAGTAGACAGAACAACATGCAAAGTATTAAAAACAAACAAACAACAACAAGAACAAAAAACAAATAAAGTATGGAATACTTTAAGAAAGGAGATTTGAAGAACTAACTCAAACTTTTTCTCTCATTACCATGGGATGTCCCAGTGCCTAAATGTGACAAGAGGAAATAAAATTGGCTAGTTATTT